CAATCAAACCCCAGCAGCTGCAACTGGTGTATCACAGCAAGTGCAATCAGATACCAAACACGTCCTTGTCAGGATTCAAGCCTGAGCTCTTGATATCTGGGAGAAGGTTGCAGTCTTTCTCACTGTTTATTTGTTTCTGAGTTAAGAAACACATGGGAGAAAAGAAATAGGCACAGGTAGATTAACAAAGTTGGCATCTCCGCTCTGAGGTGCAGCATCTCCACCATTAGGACCTGAGATTTGCCATGTGGTGGAGCACAGATGTTTGCATTGGGGACAGAGGGGTTTGGGAAGAGGCAATCACTGCAGCAGCTGTGGATGGATGGATGGAGGTTTGTCAGGGAGGGAGCTGGATGCATGGAAACCTTTCCTTGAGAATGGTGGGTACCAACATCGTTACTCCCCCAGCCCATAGAGGACCAGCCAGCCATCAGCAAGGATGCTCAGTGCTTTGCTCAGGGCTGTGCCCCCCTGAACTTGATTAAACCCAAGGTGGAAGGCCCAGCCTTGTAATTTAGATGGCAGAGAGATTACCTATTGCCTGTGCTTGCTGATAAATGAACCCGCTGCATCAGCATGGAGGGAGGACAACAGATGTGTGGCTGAGGAGCTGTACAGGGCCCACACATCTTCATTAGAGAGGGAGCAAATGGGAGAAGAGGAATAACCCCATACATCACTATTATGGAAATCTGCTTTTAATAAAGAAGTAATGTGCGTTATGCATCACTCTGGAGCCATGCAGGGGGGTAGCAAGACACTGCTTGGGCCATGTTGCTTGCTCAGTCACTTCTTACAAGGTTGTCACTCATGGGAGATGCTCTTCAATCTGCCAGCACAAGCTCTCCACTGTCCTTATCCCTTTTGGACCTCCATCATCCATGCAACACCATCCTTCTCCATCCACTCCTCCCCATGGAGGATGCTGGGGTTAGAGGGGCAGCAGAGGGATGCAGGATGCAGCATCCCACACAGGGGCAGCTCATGTTTGAGGATGAGAGGGGACTGCCACATTACAGCAGTAGGACTTGAAGGTACTGCTGGCAATAAAGCAACAAACCCATTCTCTGAGCAATTTGTAGCATTTAATAGCCATTCCAACGAATGAAATGTTAATTAATTCATTCCCTCAGCCTATGCATTTATTTAAGGTTTTTGTGGGTGTTCTCTGTACTTTTATTAAGCAATTAACATGCGTCCAAGAAAATATTTGTCTGTTTTAAGTAGTTCTTAGTAAACACAATTTATATGGCAGGCAAGTGCTTTATTTTGCATTGTTAATTAAAAACGACGATCCACTCCACTGCCACAGGTTGTACACCACCAGAGCAGCCGATCTGCTGTGAAGTCTGGTTCAAGGGGCACATGTGCTGCTGGCTACAGCAAAAACACCTCCCGAGGAGCCTGCAGCATGGGTTTGAGTAGTGCTTGGTGGGCACTGCAGGGTTCAGAGAGCCCATGCTGGAGGGTGGGTGCTGTGATGCTCTCCTGTTGTTCCTGTGTTGCTGGTGAGAGCTGTGGTGTGATGAGGAGCTTTATAAAGAGCACGTACGAGTCTACAGCCTTCCCAGGGCTGTAAAGTAAATAGCTTGTTCACACATGCTGTTTGTTGAAGAATTACAAGTCCTTGTACAGCACACAGAGGAATTTATTTGTTATGGTGAGCCTGGGCAGCACTAAGGCAGACAAAGTACTTGCTAGTGATGCTCCTCCATGTACTGATGCTCTAACAGGGCATGTTCCGCTCTTGTTGCGAACGCGGTTAGCTCCATGAGCCTGAAAGCCCAGCCAAAACTGGGAACCTTTGGGATAAAAAAGGGTAAAACCTGCTTGTGCTTAATGAGTCCTGGCTGAGCATCTTCCACTGAGACCCCACGTGCTTCATCCTGGCTTTCCTTTGGAAACCAGAGCAGATCACTGAAGAAACACTGAGGTATGAAAGCCATAAACAAGCCATAGCACTGCTTTGAGCCAACATGTCCTAAACTGTCCTTTCCTATTTTCTTGCATGTAAGCTTAGCTAGGAAACAATCAATGTAGTCAGAAAACGCAGAATGTCTCCTTAGAAAAGTCCTGTCCCCTCTTTAAGCATTAAAACCAGCAGTACAGGTTTGGGGGGGGGGTCCCATTCTTTAATCAATGGCTTTTCAGTGCTGTCTGCAACAACCCCTTTGAAGCCTGGGTCAAAATACCTGTTTCCTGGTTGAAAACTGTTTTGCTCCATCACCCAGGTTGATTCAATTTCCAGAAGATACTGAGTTGGAAGGCACTAGGCGCCCCATCCAAGGAGGCCAGAGGAAAACGCAAGCAGGTTATGTACAAAGCCCAAGAGGATAAGGGACAGCAGCAGATAGGAGGCAAGGTCTGTGCTGGCCATGGGATAGTGGGGAGAAGTGGTGAGTTTGGAGAACTGGGAAACATAGGAACAGGTCATTTGGGCAGATTCCCATGGGCAGACCCTTGCCCCTCTCTGCACAGACCTGTTCCTACAGTCCCTGCAATATTCTTTGGCTTAGGAAGAAAACAAACAGCAGAAAATGGTGGCTGAGTCCTATGAGGAGAGACTAAAGCAGGTAAATTTATATAGTCTGGAAAAGACCCTGGGTGACACGTGTGCAATCTATAAATACCTTCAAGGCAGTAATATAAATGAAAGAATTCCCTGCTCTCAGCGGTGGTAGGATGCGCTGGGGTCAGGCTCTATATAAGGCGGCAGATGCATGAAGAACCAAAGCAGTGGAAGTGGTGAATGTGGCTGATGGAGCATCCTTTTTCTCTTCTTGGCTCCGTTTTATTCAGATTCTATTTATAAATAGTTACTGAAAGGTTAATAGGTGAGTAAGACATGTTATGGGCTTGTAAAAACATGAGTAACTTGCCTTCTGGCTGCCCACAAGCACATCACGGGAAGCTTTACAAGAGGGTTATCCGGCGTCGTTATTAAAAACCAATTTGACATTATAAAAGATCTATACTGCTTGTTCAGCCACATTGATTTAGCAGTGTTAAGCCTTGGAAAACTGGAGCAAGAACCTTGATCTCTGCTGAAGCACAAAGAATTGCTGTTTGTGACACATCTCCGCGCTCGGGAAATCCAGTTTTGCGGAAGCAGTGGGGTTTGAACAAATCCATAGAGCACTGTGCCATGGTTGTTGCTCTGTGTTTTCCCAAGGTGCTGCAAAGCCAAAAGACTCTTGGAAACCTTGCTCTCAATTTTGCTTTCCTTTGCAACATCCAGGAAATGGCTTCACAGAATCCCAGGCTGGTTTGGGTTAGAAAAGACCTTAAAGCTCATCCTGTTCAAACCCCCTGCGGCATCGTTCCTGTGGCAGAAAGGCAGCAGGGCAAGGCAGGGAAGCGTGATGCTGAAACCAGCTGACCCCTTGGCTTGGGCTGCAATTCCCTCTGGAAGGAGAAAGACGTCACCAAAGCATCATTCAGCATTCCAGCCGTTGGGAGGTGTTGCTTATGCTGGTTCTTCCCTAGGAGGAAGCTCCCTCATTAACACAGGAAGCGCAGCCCTAGAAATAGAAGTGACATCTCCTGATTAATTATTGAAGGGTGAGCATGGGGAGAGTGGGGAAGCTGGAGTGGCCAGTCAGCATCTGTTAGAGGTGCAAAGATAAATGAAATCAGAGGTCAGATAAGTGCCTACAAATCGACTGCATCTGTACCCCTAATACATCTCTCTCGAAACACTTGTGTCATCAGATGGTGGATGAAGTCTTGCAGGTCAGCTGTCCTCATTCTATTAGGTTCACACTCTCAGGTACAGGGGGGGTTTGCTCTAACAGTACTGTTACAGTGTTTTCAGCCTTAACTCTCATTCCAGCCCCATAGAGGCACCTGGGGAAGCTGTTCGTGCCTGCAGACCCTCTCCTGAGTTCCCTTTAGCTCCAGTAGTCTTTGGTTGCCTTTAGGGCAGCAAGGGAAACCCATAGCAAAGAGGTGGGGACAAGCAGAGCAGAACAGTAAAGGCAGGAGCAGGAGACCCCTGGGAGGCCCATGAGCAGATGCTGTTCTTCTTGAAGGGGACACCAAAACCACCCCACCGGCTGTGCAGCTTGATGGGACAAGCCCAGCTCCCAGCGCCTGCATCTTCCCCAACCCAAACATCCCAACACACCCAGAGGAAGGCAGAGATTCCTCAGGGAAATCCTCTTCCCTCTAATCTACCTGTCAGTTGGTTTGGGAGGATGGTTATGTATGTTTTCCCTGGGCTGCTGCCTGTGCTTTCTTTCCCTTCCCCCAAAGAGCTACTGGAGTTTCACATGCCTGACAGCATCTCCTGTCTTTCCCACCCGCTCCAGAGTGGCAGGTTGCCAGATGGTGCCCCATTAGGTCACATTTGCTCATTGTTTGGCAAACAGCGGCTTAATTCAAGTGCTGAGTTGACAGCTTGTTCTCCAAGACAATTTGCAAGTTGCAGTGTTGCAAATGCCAGCTTGGCTTTTCAGGGTAATGTTATTTCAGCTGCCTTAAAGGGATAAAGTTCTTTTTGATTAGAAAAAAATAAAAGGAAGAAAAGGGTAAAAGTGAGGGGAAGCTAGAAAGGTTTTTAGTGTTTTGATGTGGAAGGACCAGGGGTTGTTGGTTGGTTCAGAAAGGGACTGCTCTCCTGGTACTGCTGTTTCCTCATCATGGAGGTCTTCCATCTATGCCCCACAATCTTAAGGAATGAGGTGCATTTCCAGTGAAACAAGCTCTCACAGGGAAACAGCAATTTGGGTTCATTTTGGAAAGGTTTCAGTAGGGATATATGTACACATCAGTTTGTTGTCTCCTCTCCAAACCCTGTGGCTATCCCTCCATCCCCGGGGGAGTGGGTGATGCTGAGGACAAGCACATGTCCCTCCTAAAGCCCAGGGCAGCAGCAGGCACCCTGTGGTGTGCTGCCTCCCAGCATTGCAACCTGTGTGCTGGGCCAGCAAGTCTCTACCATCACACACGTGTGAATGACCCAGAACAGCACCATCACGATGCTCTTTCTTCTTCAACAGGTGGGCGAAAAAGGGCCAGGTGATAAAAGAAGCATCCGGTGACTTCTATGAAACCATCGTGGATCACACCTTCTTCTTTGAGCCCGTCTCCTGCGAAGTCACCAACGCACTGGGCAGCACAAACATCAGCAGGACTGTGGATGTCTACTGTAAGTGATGGGTCAGCTTGAGACTGAGGCTGAAAATTAATAGGAAGGGGACATGGCCAGGTCTGACTTGCCCGGGGTGACCAGGACTTGCTGGATGACTTGCTGGTCCACCAGTTCCTACCACCTCAAACAAAATGACCTGTTTGGTTTGAGGGTTTCTGGTTGACACAGCCCATCACTGAGAGGTAACTCCAGTCTCCTCTGTGCAGTTGGGCCCAGGATGGCAACAGAACCACAGTCCCTGCTGGTTGATCTGGGCTCAGATGCAGTCTTCAACTGTGCCTGGACTGGGAACCCATCTCTCACCATCGTCTGGATGAAGCGAGGCTCAGGAGTGGTAAGGACTGCTGCTGGGACGGTGGGGAATGGCAAGTTCAGGGCATGAGGTGCTGCATGATGCTCCCCATGGAGCAAAGCCCATACCTATGGGCTGGGAGCTCCTGGCTGGACCTATGAGTGTCCTCCAAATGGAAGGGACAACGTGGCATTGCAAGGCTGCAATGAGTGTCCCCAGTTAGTCCAGAGAAGCGCATTAAGCAGTAAAAGCTTTATTGCCTTTGTAATATTTTGGATGGAAGCATGAGTGCATCCATGAGGCAGGATTTTGGATGTCAGATAGGAACCCTCTCCTCTCTTCCAGGTCCTGAGCAATGAGAACAAGCTGACCCTCAAGTCCGTCCGCCAGGAAGATGCTGGGAAATACGTGTGCCGAGCCGTGGTGCCGCGGGTGGGCGCAGGCGAGCGGGAGGTGACACTCACCGTCAATGGTACCTCTTGCTGTTCTGTCTCATCCCTTTACTGCTCCCACTGCCAAATTATCCCCTTGGATATTAGCTTTCAGAGCAAATCCCACCCTCAGCTGGATGAGGGAAGGGTCCTGCCCTGCAAGCAATGTGAATGGATTGGATTTTGCATTCATTCACCTGAAGATGCATGGGTTAAAACAAAAATCCCCAACACTATCTATGTTCCTTATTATCAACAGGGGTTTATTGAGTAGTTGGGAGCTGGCATCTTTAAATCTTTAATAGATTTATCTTGCAAACCCCTTGCAAGGTCATAGAGCACTGTTGTCTCTGTTGTACAGCTGGAGAGCTGGGAATTGAGCCTGGATCCAACAGCAGCAGCCTAATCACTCTCCCAGAGCCCACGTGAGGGTACCTATGAGGGGCAGCAGTGCTGTATAGCTCCTCCACGGCTGCTTGGGGCTCAGGATGTGTTCTGGACCTGCACCTAAGCTCAGGAGTTAGTTAGGAAGCACTTCAGAGCTCTGGAGTTTCATGATGACCCCGCCAGGACCCCTCAGCAGCCGATAACAAATTCCAGCCTAAATATGGAAGGGAAAGAGACAGGGCGGC